CTTCCCGACTAATGTACAGATCCGGATTTGGATTTTTAAATAACTTTCTTGAGTGGCTACCGAGATCATCAGACCTAAATCCTTGTGAGTTCCGTCTAACCCAGGCCTGCATAACATTTGAAGGCCCGCCGGCCATTGACCAGCTTGGCTACGTCAAACTATATAGTTGTCAGTAACAAACTAGCATTTAGGTTTATTTTGTTTTAGAAAAGCTTGGCAGAATTAAGAATTATAATGTGAACACTTTTTTTTAGAAGCTCAACCAGCAGAAGTTGGTTTGTTGATTTTTTGGTTTGTTGATTTGTTGATTTGTTGGTTTGTTGGTTTGTTGATTTGTTGGTTTGTTGGTTTGTTGGTTTGTTGGTTTATACATTTTTATAAATGATGATGACCTTTTTAGAAATCTGAACAGACCACTGGGCTCAGGCCTTTCTTGGCGGCCCTCGTACAGTTACGGTTTTTCAAATCTGGCCCTTTGAAAATCTGAGTTGTGAAGGCCTGGTCTAACCTTTAATAATCTCTTTCAGAACGACTACAACTGGAACGAGGTAAATCAGGAGGTAGGGAAATATACTTACCCAGAGGTGTCATGTGGTATACGAATGGAACTGAAAGAGAAGAGAACAAGTTAAACCCAAATGTGATATCATTGTCTTATTGGGAAAAGATAACATATGCAAATGAATTGTGTATAAAAGATAACTATAGAAGAAAGTACAAAAAACAAACCATCTTACTTAATTATCTCAGAGAGCCAAGCAGCTTTAAATGCCCTTGGTTCAAACAGAATCAAGTCATAACTGGTCTGGGACTGCCTTGGAATATCATCTAGAAACCCACACCAAGGTAAAACTATCGTAGGTACCAGTACATAAAGGTATGCAAAAAAAATGAAAAAGCTGATGAACTATACAAATAGGAATTAGAACTACAGGACTACATGACCCGAACTTGAGATTGGGATAAGCAAAACCTGTGTTCGACAGGCATAGGCAGTGAGCAGGTGTATAACCACTAAATTCCCAACTCACTAGCAAAAGATAAGAAGACACAGAATTAGTAAGCTCATGTTAAGATGACAAAACCAACGCATGCCTGTTGAGGTACTACAGCCTTACATAGCCCCAGGTATCCACTATTGTACAATAGACTCTGAGTCTTCTGACCTATATCTAAACTTACCTGTTAATAACCGATAAAGATAAACAACAACTGAATTTCTGAAAAATGGCAAAACAGGTAGGGACGAAACATTTAAATTTTTTTAGTTATGTTAAAGAAAAGTAGTGATGCCGCGAGACCAGAGATTCTCGTCTCGTCTTGTCTCGTCTCGAACGAGACGAGAGAGACATTTTCTCTCGAAAACAGATTCGAGACGAGACGAAACGAGAGAGTGTCATTTCTCGACGAGAATTTCTCGTTTCTCTCGAGCTCTCTCGGGCTCTCTCGGACAATTTTCTCTTTGTTTATTTGAAATTTTCAATTGCTTATCGTAACTTAAAATTTTTACATATTACATTTCGAAATAGTCAAAAGTTAACTATAACACACCTATTCTATATTAAATGGTAACAAATGATACTTGTGTTATTAGGATTTTATAAATAGTGATTTATAAGAAAAAATAATTCTCATTTCATTTATTTAAAATGTCAATCATTTCTTATATTTAATCCATTCTGCTTTTCTGGGGTTACTTTTGAAGATAAGTTGAAAATGTATAAGTGTTTTTTCGATAAAACTGTCAAAGAAAAGGTAATGTATTATATGCAGTGAGGACGAAAATTGTATCCTCCTCTATTTTATTTTCTAAATGAAAAAAGATAATGACAAACCAAAAACGAGGTAAAACTCAAGAGATATTATATTTTTGTTATAACGAGAGGCACTTTACTTGAGACACGTAAGATAGAGGGTCATGTGAAACCTCATTTGAAAGATATGTTCTATATTTTTACGTTCATGTAAACAGATTTAGGTTTTTATGTTTTTACTGAAATTACATTAAATAAATTCATAAAGTAGGTTAAATTCTTTTTTTTTATTTACCGCTTCAACCTCAAAGGATCATTACCGGAGGTATAATACCTTATAAATGTTGTTTTTTACAATAGTATACAATGGGTAATTAACATTTTAGCTAGTACAGAGTAAATGTCAGCATCTTTTATACATTTAACTAATTTCACATCGTTTTTGTGTTATGTCTCTATCTTCTTGCATTTTGAAAACATACTACAAAATGGTTTTATTTGACATCGCAGGATTGCATTAGAAAAATTCTAACTTTCAATTTAACCTCTTCCCTCCCTCCCCAACTGACTAACAAGACAAAGTATTTTCGTTTTTAGTTAACGCCTAATCTGGGCCTCTCATTACTTCAAATTTCAATTGTAAAACGACTGTGACAGACGGACAGGCAGAAAAACATAAGTATTTCTTATTGTCAAATTTGGGTACTAATGCGTAAATTACTTGAAAAATTCTTTGTTTTTGTCTTACAAATTTTACCGTTTTCTCATGTTTCGTCTTTTTCAAATTTAAATTTGATATTGTTTTATCACGAGAGAAACGAGACGAGACAAGATGAGAGAAAGTCTCTCTCGAGCGAGAGAAGCGCCTTCTTGTCGAGAAGAGAGAACATTTTTCTCTTGCCCTACGAGACGAGAGAGGCCACTCTCTCGTCTCGTCTCGTGTTGTCTCGCGGCATCACTAGATGAAAGACTATTAAGTATTTCGTTGCAAGAACGTTCCTTAAAGAGTGACGTTCTGTTAAATTGGACCTGTCGGTCAATAGATCTGTACGTAAATTAGCCTGTCAGTAAATTGTTCTGTTGGCCATTAGGGTGGTCGGTCAATTATCATAATAATAATAATAATTTTTATTCACACACAAATAATTACAAGTAACTGCGAATTATACTTAGTAAAAACAATTCAATGCATAATGTATATAAATAAAAATGAAAACGCCCACAAAAGGATTAGGTACCTGAGCGTGGGCATGAATTTCATTTTTTAAACAACAAACTGATTCAAAATTATAAAATAAAAACAATTAATTATAAAACATTATAGATAAAATACTACTTACTACAAAATATTCTTAAATATAATTTAAATTTTTCTTAAAAATTTTTTAGACTATAACAAGCACCATCGGAATTTAAAAATTGTTTTAGTTTAATAAGAGGTATCCCTGAAATCCATTTTATAACTTTTTTTTTTAAATAAAGAACGAGAGTTAATTTTTTTGATATCGGAAGGAATATCGTTATATAACTTTGGACCCAAATATGTAAAACATTTTTGTCCAATTGTTTTTTCTACTCGAGGTATAGTAACAGAATCGACTTTATATCTCGTATTGTATGTATGAGTGATATGTCTGTTCTCTTTACTGATTTTGTATTGATTTAACAGTAACACTTTAGTATACAGCTGATACATGTTAAATATTTGTGTTTCTTGGTAAAGTGCTGTACAAGGGTAAATTCGAGGTTTATTATACATATATTTTATTATGGATTTTTGAATTTTTTGTAGATTTTCTAAAAGAACTATTCCAGCAGACCCCCATGCTATGAGTCCGTAATATAAATGAGATTCTACAAGTGCATAATATAATATTTTTAAGTGATTAATATGTAAAAATGTTGATAGATTTTTAAATTTATATACTACAAAACGTAGTTTCTTTATTACATAATTCACATGTGCGTCCCATTTCAAATGACAGTCAATGTATACACCTGGATACTTTATGTTATTGACAGATTGAAAATCTATTGAATGTTTCTGATCTATTTTAATTTTTAGTTTTTTATAGGGTGGTAAGTTATTACTGTAAGATGAGAATGGTACGTAAAATGTTTTATTATAATTTATTGTCAAAGCCTTGTAATGGAAAAAATTGACAATTTTTGGAAAGTCTGCCTCAACGGTATTCTTTAGTGACTCCCAATTACTTGATTTATAGAAAACTACGGTATCGTCGGCAAAACTGACCACTTCACCTGCGACGTGTTGTTCAAATAAGTCATTTATATATATGTTAAATAGTAGTAGACCGAGTACTGTTCCTTGAGGAACACCACAGGTTATGATCTTAGGATCACTTAAGGTACCGTTAATATCGACTAATTGTGTTCTGTTATGAAGATAGCTCTTCATTAAATTGTAGACTACGCCCCTAAACCCAATGTGTTCTATTGTTTCTAAAAGTTTTTGATGGTTAACAGTATCGAATGCTTTTGCGAGATCAACAAAGATGCAAAGTGACGGTTGTTTTTGGTCTATTGAATTATTGATTATTTTTGTCAATCTCGCAATAGCATCTGAAGTTGAGGTGTTTTCCCGAAACCCATGATGTTTGTTTGACATGACTTCATATTTATTTAAGAATGATAACATTCTTTTTAATTATTTTTTCAAAAATTTTTCCTATACTGGAAATTATTGAGATCGGTCGGTAATTAATTACTTCGAGCTTATCTCCTTTTTTATATATGAGGATTATCATAGATTCTTTTAGAGAATCTGGAAATTTTTCATCACTAAAAGATTTATTTATTAGGAAGGTCAATACTGGTGATATTTCATTGTTTATTTCTTTGAGTATTTCAGACGTTATGTCGGTCAACTGGGTGTCGGTCATTTGTCCGGTATTTGGTTGGTAAATTGTTGAAGAAACATTGTTATTTGTAATATAATAAACACATTAAAATCATTTTAAATACCCAATATATGTTTAAAAGAAGAAATATAGGCATTAAACTTTTCTTAATAATTCGTCTTTCATTTTACGATAATTTTTCTGAAAGTACATTTTTAGGATATTTGGAAATACAACAGTTTTAATTAAAAGCTTTAATAAACTGAACTGCCCGACATTACAGTATTTTTTAAAATGTACCTATAATTTTTTGCAGTGTAAATAAACCACTACGAATTTTCTCTCTATTTTTCATTTTCCGCGTATTTAATTCACCTCATAAAAGGAGCAATTGCTCAGTTGTTGCACGCGAACATACCTTTTCATTCCGAAGGAAAATTTCTTGGGATCGCTCATTTTGATTTTATCAATTCCAGACGGAACTTACTATGTCGAATTCTAACAATAACGTTAATAGTGTCGACGGAATTTATGGCTCTTTGTTGGACTCTAATTTCCAGCGTTAACGCCTGATTTTTTATTTTACAACCAGCGAAAATGAGTGAACGTCCGATAAGAAATTTCAATTAGTTGGTTAAACTTTTAAAGGGACTAAATGTCGGTTTTTATGGGCCAAACGAGTTAATAAAGTAAAAATAAGATATAGTTAAATCATGTTTAAAGGCGCTTGAATTTTTTTAAGTTAAAAAATGGCTGATTAAAGAAAAACAAATGAATAAATTTGGTAATTAGCTTGGAACTTTAATTTTGAAATTTAGTTTCTATAGCAATTAATTATCAAAGTTCGAATAAATAGGCCACACCTCCGTTTTTCTTGTAGCGGCGAGGTGTAGTGCTTCGTACTACATATTACTCTTCTCTCTGTCATAATTACGTTGATAGATAAATGTTATAACCTTAAACCAGTCATCTCCACTTTGTCATTTCGACGTTTTATTTTTGTTATGTGAATGGCACTTTAGAATGTTTCGTGGTGGCATGAGACTCAATCCTGTTTCCTGCCAATGTCATAGAACTTCAAAGTTGATGACATTGGAAGTCACATCTGTTTTTGATTTGTGGTGTAGTAGGTGGAAAAACAATGGAGTGTGTGGTAGATAGCTGTGGAAAGAAAAAAGAAAGAGCAGAACAGCAAGAGACAAAAAACATCAACAAATTATTATTTTTATTTTTACATTTTTTGAAGTAACATGTTCTTGACCTTTTTAATAAAAGAATTTTAAAAAAGAAATTTTAATTATATAGTTATTTTGATACAGAGAATACCTATATAATATTATGCACGAAGATTCACCAATTAGAATCACAAAAACAACATCTACAATTATTGAATAGGTAGTCTCTCATTTTAAACCCGCTGATATGGATCACCAAGCAATCAGCTTAGGTCTCTCAGACTACGAAGCAGTTTTTGCCGAATTTGTGATACCGCGTACAGCTCCTAAAAAAAGTCTGTCAGTTGGTTAGAATCTTCTCTCAATAATGTTGCATCAATTACTTTTCCAACCTTAAGCACAGTTCAGAAGTTCTAACTTGTTTTCAGTAAAATTTTGTATTTTATTCATTGTCACTTTTATCCCCGTTATCGGGGGAATAAGTAACACTATAAGGGGTTATAAGTAACACTTAAAAAAAAGACAGCGATATATCAAAAATAAACAAATTTATTCACAGCCAGGGGCTTTAAATACAGCAGAAAAAATATCAAAAAAATGTAATTCTCATTCTACAAAAAATTCTAGATACATACGTTGAAATTAAACCTATTAACAGAGTATATAATATATAACCAGTGAAAAACAGTGTTTTTTGATAAATTACTGTAACAAAAATAAAACGATAGCGACTCTTTGCTGAACGCTGAATTTTTCCATAACAAATCTCCCAAGCTTCTATTTTCTAAATCTAAATCAAATTAAAAAAAAATCAATGGGTCCGAAATTATTGAATTTTGAAATCAGCTAGTGACTTTTGGGACACCCTTATTCAGAGTCTGTAAATTTTTGTAAAAAACAAAATATGTCTATCCCCCAGGCATTGAATATGATGGAACCATTTTTTGCAGTTTCTGCACTGCACTCATTTATCACCAGGACGACTTTCATTGCATGATTCGCAACATAAACATAATTATTCATTCTCATCGAAGGAATCATCTTAAATCACTACCTTTTTTCAGAGGGTGTTTTTGTTTTTTTTTTTAATGTTCCTCTTCTAAGGCTTATTTTTTGGTGTATCGGTTAACACTGCAGATTTTTTGGTTTTTCTTGCTGTACTCATTTTTCTGGGAGCAGTTTTTGGTAAAGACCTGATGAGTTTTGGATGAAACTGAACATTTACGTTTGCATGTGATGGGCCTGGAACTACTTCGTTATGCTCAGAGACAGAAGTCACATTATTATCAGGTTTTGGGTCTATCAGTAACAAAAGAAGTTAAATAGTCGGAATCCTGGAAAATATCTTTATTAAAAGGCATAATCCAGGTCTTTGTTACGTGAAATTAATTTTAAATTAATTTCAAATTTATTTTTAACAACAACTTCTCCATAACCCCTCGTAACACACAACATATGACCACTGCTCTGCCATTATCGATTTTTACACAAAGCACCGTTTGCGCACGAAATCTAGTTTCTTTGGGCATCCACGTCGTCACAAAACCGATTCGCTTAGAATCAATCGCTCTTTCTGATGTACCGAATTCAATGTGTCGGATGTACCGATAAATGTGCCTACTATGAATAGTTTTCCTTAATTCTTTAATTCTATATTTGTGTTTATTAAGTGTGAACGTTGGGATAATAATTGTCAGGTAAATGTTTTTCTTTTATTCCCATTTTGCTGGATTTCGTTGCAAAACCAAAGCTCGGCCATGTGCTTTTTTTTATTACAACCATGCTGGCAAAGCCGGTTTCTATATTTTATTTCATTTTATATAGATTATAGCTACCCTGACTAATAATATTTTTTAAAGCTTTCTTATATATATTAATATAAATGTGTTATCATTGAAGTACTTTGATATATACGCGGGGAGGCAAATAAATAATTGAATTACAAGTCAGTCTGGAAATACAGTTCAAACGGAAATTTATGGCTCCTAACTTATTTTTGCCTTATAAATATTTTATATTCTGTTGTAGTTTGTAGTGATATTTTATATTTTGTTCAGATGACGTAACTTTAATATTTTTCGTGATATTGTATATTCTGTTCAGACGATGTAACTTTAATATTCATCCCGTTTATGCATAAATCCGTTAGATTTCCAAACTGGCATGTATATGTACTTTTACACACGGTACTGAGGTTCTTTTATTTCTAAAACTGTAGTAGCTCCTCCAAGTATCCAAGAAGAAGTACTGTCTCCAAGAAGAAGTACTGTTTCCAAGAAGAGTACTCTAAACCTCCAAATATTGTCTCCAAGAAGAAGAGGCTACTTTACCTCTAAGTACTGTCTCTACTGTCAACAAGAAGAGGCTACTCTACCTCTAAGTACTGTCTCTACTGTCTCCAAGAAGAAGAGGATACTCTACTCTACCTCCAAGTACTGTCTCCGAGAAGAGGCTACTTTACCTCCAAGTACTCAAGTACTGTCTCTAAGAAGAAGCTCTAAGACGTATGAAGAAGCTCCAAGCTCCTCCAGGAAGCTCCTAGTTGCCTCTAGCTATAAAAAAGGGAAGTACCGTACCTACGTACTAAAATACCACCATTTATCAGTATATTCAGTAAATTTTCTCACTCATTGATTCATTCAACTCACTAACTATTTAATTGGTAGACATGTAAAATTAATCTTTCACTTTTTTTATTAAATGTATTAAATTTTCTCACTTTCTTTTATTTGCCAGAACCCATACAGATAACTTTAAGTACCAGAGACGGACTCAATTAAACGGGACATTTAAAATCAGATAAGTTTTCCAAGTAACTGAAAAACTTGGTGGCGCTCAACTTTTTTTTGTTGTTGTCTTTTTTTTATATCTTTCATTTTATCTTAAAGTAGATCTTGGCCCGCGAACAGGTCAAGCTACTCTAATTTTATTTGTCCTGGTCAATTTTTGAATCCACACATATCAGCAATTTGAGCTAAATTACTTATTAAATAATTAACAACATAGAAATCTAGAAAGAAGGTAACATCTTCTTGAACCCGTTGACAATATTGTTAGGATTTAAAGCCAGTGATAGTGAAATTTTGGCTGTTGATGGGAGATAATGTATTGTCATGGTCTTGTATACTCTGAATTGAAAGAAATTAAAGCAGGAGTACCACAGGGAAGCGTCCTGAGACCCACTTTATATCTGTTATACACTTGTGACATACCCCAACTAGAACAAGACACAATAGCTACATTTGCAGATGATACTGCCATCCTCTGCAAAGATCATGAAGAGGCTGCAAATAAACTACAAACATAGTTAATCAAATAAATAATTGAACCAAAAGATAAAGTATTAAACTAAATTAAACCAAATCTATTAATATAAATTTTACTAACAAAAATGGTCAAAGAATACCAATTGACATAAATAATTCTCAGGTCCCTTATGCTAACTCGGCAAAATATATATATTACATTAGATGCAAGTTTTCCCTGGAAGGTCCATTTTAAAAGACAAGAGTTAGATATAAAATTCAAGAAATTGTACTGGTTACTTGATAGGCATTCCAGCCTATCTCCATATAACATAATTCTATTACATAAACTAGTCCTCAAACCAATTTGGACCTATGGCATTCAGCTCTGGGGTTGTGCCAGCTACAGTAATATTCTAATAATCCAAAGATTCCAGAACAAAGTATTGAGGAACATTGTCCTTGGTACATTAAAAACAGCGACCTTTATCGAGACCTTCAGATGGACACTGTTGACCAGACTATCATCAGAATCGCTAGGAGTCACAAACAACGGCTCCACCAACATGTGAAAGTTGAGGCGATCCAGCTTCTTGACAACACGAACCTGACAAGAAGACTCAAGAGAGTGAAACCTTTTTAGTTAACCAAGTTATTGTGTTAATAACAAAGCAAAGCATTGTGCGGTTTAGTGTTACACGTTAGTTTAGTGTAATTAAGTTATCAGACCCTAAGGTATACTAGCGAGTAGAACTTTAGTTTTTAAGATTGCAACCCTAGTTAAGTTAGGTTATAACAAAATTACTCATTGATCAACTCTTGATCAGATTGTTACAAAAAAAGGTCTTGACAGGATTATTCCGTAGCCAAGCATCTTTTTGACCAGCGAAATAATTTTTAAAAGGTCCATAGATACCTACAATCCAGTGGCTATAGTTTATGCGAGTATTTCTGGTGAAAATGAGAGAATTACTAATCCATTTGTTTTTGTTTTATCATCAACATTTATATCTAAATGTGATGAATGGTTATAGAGCAGAAACAGCACCGGCTCAGAAGGCGATGGCTTTCAAACTCAATATTGGTCGTCCAGTCATATTTTTAGCCTGCACCTATACACTCTAGGGAAACAATCTCGTACAACAATCCCTGT